CCATGCACCAACCCTCTTCCTTGAATCCTTTCTTGAAACCCCTCAGGCGATGCCTCTTCAATCGTTGTGCATCCATCTGGTGGTGTTAAAGCCACCAAGAAAGGTTGCCCTGATAACTCAAGCCCAAGAACTAACTCTTGAAACTCCTCCCTTTGCAATGTAATCTGGCTTCCAAATGCACAAAACACCACAGAACTTGGCTCAAAGTTGCTTAGCCAATTAGCCCATTTGTCTTCAAGCTGTGTGGCATTTGTTTCAGGGAGGCAATGCCCTGTTAGCATAACAGGCTTGCCAAAATGTTGAGCAACATAGTCACAGAAAGTTCCCTCAATTTCACGGTGAGTCCTATAGGCTATGACATCACTGCCATTCATGCTAGTTATTCTCCGGTCCTGAAATGACAATTCTATTCCAAAGATTTTTCGCGCAATTGTCAGAACGGAAACCTCTTCAGCTCTGAGCTTCACCTTGGAAGAAGGATAACCAGGAGGAACTTCTATCAACTCTTCCACGCTCATTGCCTTTGTAACTTTCTTTGTCGACATATGCGCGTTTGCGGCTGCAGTTACTGCGGCATAGTAAATGGACTTGATGCCGATTTGGTGAGCCAAGGCTGGAATCCAATACCCCAAATCATGGAAAACTATATCAGGCTTTATAGGCTTGAAAATGGCTTTAACTTGATCCCGAGTTTGATCAAATGCAATAGCAAGCAAGCTATGTACTGGTTGAGGAACATCGGATGTAGTTTGGGCGCCTGGCAGGATACCATCTACATGGGAAACAAGAAGAGGAAAGAACTGAATAAGATTTGGATATTGGTTAAGTTGTTCCAACTTTGGCTGTGCTCCTTTAGGCAATAAGAAGGAGACCTGGTGGCCTTTCTCAGCAAGCTTGTTTGAGAGGTGAAGGTAAGGGATGAAATGGCCAAAGGAAAACCATGGAAACATGGCTACGTGAAGCTTGGAGGAGTTGGAGTTTCTCATCTTTGCCTTGCAAACTGTGTTACTGTGACCTGAGTTCAAAGGAAGTCATATATATCAACGTTGTGTGGCTGACAAAACTACTAGAAATTTTGTCGACATAGCCAAAAAGCAAGTCATCATAGTAATTACCATGACAGCATCCAAATTTAGATAATACTTAGACATCCTTAAACAGCAGAAAATGGGTAGAATAATCATCAGAAACTTAAAATTTTATTTTATTAAATTAAGTATATAAGTAAATTGTTATATTAACTTTACATGAAATAATTTAACTAACTATTTGCGTATAAAAACTGAAATAAGTTGGGGCTCTTTTCAATGATACAAATGCCTTTAATGAGAGGATACTTGGAGATGATCCCTTAATCCACATCATCCACTCGTACAAAGTTCTTCATGAATTAAAAGCAACTTATGATGGAACCTCATACTCAGCTTTGATATAGCGTTAAGTATTGAGTTCAATTCTTTTAAGAGCTTAAAAACTTGACTCAACAATATTTATGAAAAAAGGATCCAATGAAAAAGGGATGCAGATGCATACTCTTCAATGTGTCATTGGATATTGTGCATTCATTAGGGTTGAAATCATCGAGTGAGATATATTCGATTAACCAAATGGAATAATTAGTTCAAAGCAAAGCATAGTCTATCATTGTATTTCGTTTAATTTTAACACGTTTTCACTAAATAAAAACTCAATTGGATGACATGAGTTTCTAATAAATCGATATTCCAAAGGTTTTCGGCTTAATTGTCATAATAGCAGTGATATGTGCAGCAAATACATATATTTAATGGGAGATTAAATACCTAATTAGTTTAAGCTAGATTAGATTTAGGATCAAATTTAGGTATTTTTAGTTATTTTGTTAGTTTAGTTTAATTTATGTTTAAATGTTTATTTTAATTTAATAATGTTAGTTTATGTTATTTATATTTATTTTTATGTTTTTGTAACAGTAGATCAAAAATTATTTCAATTGGTGAAGAAAGACATATAATGGATTGATGCTCTGTTGGCATATGTTCGGTTTTTCGAGCATATCTCTCTCTAAAAAAGTTTAATGACATGATTTTTAAACTATTAAAAAGCTAAGAGGTAGGGCTATAATTTTTATATTCACCACTTTTTTCAATTCTGATTGAAAAGTGGTCAAAATTTTCGTTGAAATGAAAGTACTAGAAGAACAAAATTGAGACAGAACTTTTCTGAGCTGCGGTTCTAGAAAATAAAAGCCTCGGTTGTAGCGACCCAAGTCCAACCACTGGATTAGCAACTTTTCAGGCCTAAACTATATGGTCCTTAAAAGCTCAAGCTCAATTGTTAATATTGATGACTTGGATTGTTATATAGGTTTTAACAATCATATTCACATTAAATGTGGGATGTGAGATATCACAATTTCACCCCCTCAAATTCTTAATGTTCTCATTAAGGTCATACATCACATCCATATGTCCAAGATCTCACTAGAGCAATGTGAAAGTCCACATCGAATGGTTGGACTTAGCTCATTACAAATGATATCAGAGCCTGCGCCAGTTTGATGTGAATTTTCATATTACTTTGATGAGATTTTGGATCTGTAAATGTGATGTGTGGCCTTGATAAAGACATTAAGGAGTTTGATCAATTGGAACAACAAGCAAGCTACTTAGTGGTTCAGAAACACCAGATGCATTTGTTTTGGATGTGGCAATTTCTGTAAGAATGGCACTCTTTTTTTTTTTTTGAAGGAAAAAATGCATAAAATGGGTAAAATTATTAGGTGATCATAAATCGCCCAAATTATTAAGAACCCACTGGACATCAATAAACAGGGAAAGGACAACAAGCATAAAATGGCTAAAATTATAGTGTGGTCACATTTCACTAAACATGCAAGTCCTGCGTTGTGTGGAACAATAACAAATATTGGACATAATCTTTCATTGGAAAAATAAAAGAACGAAGAATCTTTTAAATAAAGAGAGAGGCGTCCATAACAATTGGACTAAGGTAGATTGAAGTGCAAAATAGATGATGAATGGACTTTTTAAGTCTTAATTGGTCTTGAAATTAATTAAATTAATAATATTTAATTAATATATTATAATGATGCTTGGTTTCAAGTACTAGATAGATTAATCTTATTAATTAAAAATGGTTAGATGAATATTAAGTTTCGCGAGGCATCAGCCATAGGGTCCAAGGATGTATAAAACATGGGGTGCTTTAATCAAATCAAAGGTAATAAATTACAAAAAATGGTTGATGGTGGCAGAATGAACGGAAGAAGCACTCCCCAGATGTCTTATGACTAATCTGTTCACTATAACTATGTTGATACTTTGTAGAGTATCTTGTACATGGACTTGCAGATATCTAACAGACAGTCAAATTATTTATTTGTTGGCTCTGTAATTATCAAACAATTGTACAGACCCTCATTATGCACTCTCATGCTGTAATATTAACTTTCAGCTATAATGTGCTTTTCCATTATTTTTTCATTTTCATTTTTTTATAAAATTTTTCTGTAATAATATGTTGAATTTGTCGCATTTTTGGTTATCTGCAGGATCAGAGTGTTGTGTTTCATTCATTATGTTGACTTATAGCAACTTCATGTGTGTTTAAAGTACTTTACTAACAAGGTGATTTGTGGGATGCTTGACTTTGACTCTTGATCGTATTCAGATTTTACTGATTTACTATCAGGGTAACTGTATCACTCACCAATTATTTGGCAACCCACTAACATTATTTTAGAAAAAAAAGAAAAGAAAAAACCCACAAACATTATTATTGATATATATTTCTCATGGAGCAAGTAACAATGATTTCATGCACTTGTGACTTTTGAGGGATTTGGGTGAGTGCATGATAGAAAACTGTGCATTTGATGGAGTAGATATAGTTTGTTTTCATCCCCTACTGCTATTCAAATCATTTAGACATTAACAAATACAGAAAACTTTCTAAAGCCAAGACATTAGAGGTTAAGAATATTGAAGGAAATTAACAACGAACTTATTGCATTTTGTCAGATTGGAATCTGATAGACATTAAGAATGCTAGGCACAAACACCACTAAAACAGGTTTACTAAACTCGGACTCTAAATTGGATTCGTGTTCTTCTTTTGCAATTTGGATCCTATTTGACCAGATCTTGCAGACCTTTGATGAAGTTATTCATATATTCTTCTTGAAGATCTCTGTTAGAAAGAATGCTCTTGAGCTTGGCATGGTTTCTCTTCAACAGACTAGCTATTTCATTGTCCTTGTCCATCACCAACTTGATGGCTTTGCTCAAGTTCTCCTT